AGTTGCCTATCTTTATTAAAACTGTTTCTTAATATGTGAACAGACATTTTTTCCTCTTAAATTATTAACATAGGGGAAAGGCGCCTATTATAACAAAGGTAACTTTGAAGCTTCATTTTTCAGTTTCCTGTAGGCCAATAATAAAAGTTTTAAAATGGATACATTCCTTGTTATATATAGAACAATAACAACCAACGGAGTTTTCATTAGTTTTTTTTTTTTTATTCCTACTTTTAAAAAATATATTGCCATAATACTACTGCTCCTATGATGGCAGGAGAATGGGGCTGGTTAGGATTAAGGGCAACTTGATGATTTCATTTAACCTTAGAGTCTTTCCTCAGAAAAGCCAGAAATTATCCGGAACCATCCTATTTTACCATTTTATGCTACACAGCAGCATTCTAAATTTTTGGATATAAAATGCTTGAAAATTCCCTTCCTGCACAGTAAATAAAAAAATCACAATTTTAAATATATCAATGGAATAAAACTACAACAGCACATCCCAAAATCAAATTTATTGATTATAAAAACAATACTTGTGCACAAGGGAGGTATTTTTACTAAAACTGTTGTAAAGTCAGTATAGTCATGAAGGTCTAATCACTTTTTCACCAAAATTAATTTTTATGGAAATATGACTGGTACGCCATCAAAGGCGCCTTTCCCCAATGTTTGTTTTTATTCTTTAATCAACATGTGTACATTTACCTACATAATTGCAACCATGGTGCAAACGTTAGAGTTTTTGAATCCAAAACTGAAGGCCCGTGGTTCAAAGACGTAGGAAGTGACCGGGGCCCTAGCCCCGGCTAAAATAAGATTTATTGCAACTTGGTTTTGAAGACCTTTACAAAAGGTCTTATAAAATGATTATGATGATCGTGTTAATCACAATGATGTTTGTGTACGCGTATATTCAAAATATAACATGAGCTTTGGGTAATAAAAAAAATCTTTTTAATACCCGGCCCAGGCTATATTTTATCAAACCCGGCCCCGGTCAAATATCAACTCCGGTCTCTTATTACGAAGATGGCTCTGATCACATATGTATCATTGGTAAGGAAGAAGGTGTTAACTTTCTGGATAAATGCTGTTCTGTTGTGCACTGTGATTAGACCATAAAGACTTCTTGGAGCACCTAAATAAAAAGAAAAAAAACTTAAACCTGTCATCTCTGTGACTGTGAATATGTTTATAAACACTTGTTTACGCAGTTTTTTTTTTTATTTACTGTTATTTTATTATTTTAGTCAACATTTTATTATTTTAGTCAATAATTATTAAATTAAAAGCAAAATTCTATAACTTGTTAAATAAAAAGCAATGGTTTGTTTATTGAAACAAAAGTTAGAAACGAGTTCTATTGAAGTTTAATAACGTCATAAAGCGGTCAAAACAAAAACAAAACAAAACAACGTTTAAAAAAAGTTCAAGTTTAAAAAAATTTTGAAAATGATATTTTTGATATTCTTACAATTCTTAAATTTTAAAATCAAAAAAAAAGAAATAATTATGTACATGATAGATTAAAATCAAAGAAACTATAGAAGAAATTTTTGAAAAGTATATCTTGTTAAAGGTAAATTTAAAAATATAAACACAAAAAACTCTAAGCTTGATTATTTGCAGCCTTCTAGTCTATTATTATTTGATAATCACTTTTTTTCCGAAAAAAAGAAGCTTTTTTAATTTACAAATTGTTTTCTTTCAAGATCTTTAAAACTATAATCACCAGTCAAAGTGTTTGTTATTATTTTTGATTATTAGTTATATCATATTGTAAAAACTTTGGTTTTAGTAATAACTATAAATATTAAAAGTAATATATAATATTGATATATATTACTTTTAATATTTAATATATAATATATAATATACAAACAAAAGAATTTTAAAACGATGAAACCCAGTTTTGTAAAATGGAAACTACTAGACAACAATAAGGCTGTAAATGTTTATTTTTTTGTTGTTGGGTTAATAAATATAATTTATTGTTATTTTGCAATAGCTGTGTTAAAATTCAAAAATGAATTCTAAATCTAGTCTTATTGTTTTTGCTACATATCTTCTACATACCTAAATGGATGAACTTATAAATTAAATGCATAGCTCATACAATTGATGCAGGAAAGAAACTTTACTTTTCAAAGAGTACAATTTAGTTGCTTAAACTGTCATTCGTTTTCTTAATAGATAATGTTGTTGTGTTTTTTAAGTACATTTTAAAATCCAATTCCAGCAAAAGATATAGGTGGTTGTTAATGACCACCTAGAGAAGATAAAGGTCATATTTTTTAAATACCTACTAAAAATAAAAGTTTTTTAATAACTACTTGCATTTAATTCATTTAAAAAATTATATTTAATTTTCAATAATTCATACAAAAAACAAATGTTGTTCTGAATTTTCTACAGAAAATAAAAATTCCAGTTTCAAAGTTTCATAAAATTTAATATTAAAACAAGAGTCAAACGTAGGTATATAAGAATTTTGATTTTGTGACATTCTGTTCCACTCATGCCTAATTTAGGTTAAAATAAATTTAAAGTTCACTTATATCTTATATTTTTTTTACATTATTTGAAACAAATTTATTTAAGTTCCCTTATTTCCCCCATTTTTTCCTTCCCCCCACCACATTTTTACTGTGAAATTGCAAACACATGAGATTCTATAACCTTTTTAAAGTTTAAAAAATCTAAAGTTTAAAAATCTTAGCCATGTGCACATCATTTGTATATGTCATTTTCAATAAGTTATGGATTTACCTAAAAAATACTTAACTGATTCTAAACTTTTGCAAGAGACTGTGTGTGTGTGTATGTATGTATATATATATATATATATATATATATATATATATATATATATATATATATATATATATATATATATATATATATATATATATATATATATATATATATATATATATATATATATATACATACATACACACACACAGTCTCTTGCAAAAGACACAATAATATATATATATATATATATATATATATATATATATATATATATATATATATATATATATATATATATATATATATATATATATATATATATATATATATATAAGACACATAATGTAAAACTATATAAATATAATTGGTTATAACTAAGTAATAATAAAATCAATTATAGTTATTGTAATAACAATAATTATAAAGGTATTATTCATAAATAATAGTAAGTTATAGTTATAAATATATTCAAACAAAATTGGATTCTATTAAATACTACGTACGATATTCTAAGATATCATTAAAAAATCAAACCTTGAAAAAAAAAAGTTAAAGAATTTTAAATTTTCCATCATGACCATTAAAAGAATTAGTTTTTTTGTGTTAATAGATATTAAAAAAAAAAAAGAAATATTCACGAATGCTTTGATTTATTACAAAAATATTTCAATTTTTTCAAAAACAACAACAACAGATTAAAGGTATTAACAGAAGTTTGCTTCGCTACAAATTTTGCAACAACGCTTGCCATTAGCTTAGCCATTTTGCAACAACGCAAAATGGCTAAGCTAATAACATATATTTGTGTTAATAAGTTATTGGGAAACATTTTTTATTGAATTAAGGGTTAAGTAAAGCTTTCAGTATTCATTATGACAATATAAGATAAAATTTTATAAACAAAACCATAATTTAAGATATATAAAACTTAAGGTAAATCAACTTCTTAAATTCAACTGTAGAAAAAGTCCTACATAATCCCACAATTTTCCCTACTTTATTTCGATCTTTACACAAATCAAATGTAATATAAATTTTATTTTTCTTCTGAAATACAGTTTTTTCCCCTGTTCTAACATCTTTAGAAATTGTAGTTATATAAATACCCATAGAGTAATGTATCAAAATAGTTTGTTTTTGATTTTGAGTTTTTAATTGTACGCGTGAAAGTTGCGCATTATAATAATTTTTATTAATAAATTTGAGTACTTCGACCGAAAAAATTATTATTTTAACATAAAAAATGTTTGTTTACGATGTTTGTAATAACTTGTTGGTTTTTGCTATTTTTTTAAACTTTCTGACGCATAATGCTGTGCTTTAATAAACAAACTTTGGTCATGGGTTGGAGTGGATTTACTTTTGATAAATTATTTTCTCTAGTTATTAAAAGCAATTTTTAATTTGTATATTTAACCTACTAACCTTTCTTTTCCAACACAAATATTCCAAAATAAGTCCAAAAATGATTCCACATAACAGCAACAACAACAACAATAACAACAACAAAAAGACAATTTGAAGCAATAAAATGACAAAATAAATCGATAGCATTCTTGGATCTAAACCAATTAAAATCCAATTTATAAGTTTAAAAGGTATTGCCTTATTTATAATTATACAATTATCCTTAGAAAATTAAAAAAAAAAATTCTTAAAAAGTCTAGACAATTATATTTGCAATGGTTTAAATTAACTGTGTTTAAGTTTTTTTTTTTATTCTTGGAAATGCAAAATATACTTTATGCGTAATTGTGTTTAACATAAAGGAATCACCATACTAACCAGCTTTATATTTTGATAAATAGTAGCACTAAATAATTTGAATTTTTATTGAAAATATTTTGACTCCGGAAAAATAAATTTTCTTCCCAGAGGAAGATGCTTACAGAGAAGGATGCTTACGTCAAAGTTACCTACGTTATGCATAATTACAAAAATTTCTCTCATTTCTAGATGTTTTGAAGATAAATACAAATAGAAAAAATATATATTTTTCTAAATTAAAATGTAACTATTAACCTTTTTTTAAAACATAACTTGTTTGACTTTTATAGTGTAAAATAATAAACCAGATTATGCGATATTTGCTTGCCTAATCAATAAACTTATTATATGAAAAATAAGTGGAACCAATATAAAATTTAAAAACACAAAAAAGGTATTTTATTTAATTTCTTACAGGTGCACAAAAAAGTTCAAATTTTATTTTAATTTCTGTTTTTTTTTTTTAGATTTTTTGTTTTGAATTTTTTGAAGCGTAATAATTAAAAGCTACGCAATGAATTCCACTAATCATACTGAATGTAAATTAGCGCCTGCGGACGTTTTATTAATTGTTGGATGTATAACAATTATTGTGGTTGGAGTTGTTGGCAACATTTTGGTTCTTATTGTATTTAGGTCTCGATGGAAAAGAGGATCTACAACTGAGTTGCTAATTTGCTACTTGGCTGTGTTTGACTTATTGAGTTCATTTTTTGCTCCATTGATATTCATGTACTGGATTTTGGTATGTTGGAATCGATGGGATTTCGGATGGTTTGGATGCAAGTTATTCCCCTACATATTTCGAGTATTTACCGCTGTATCGACTGGTATAATACTTATAATGGCGATTGATAGATGCCAGCTTATAGTTTTTCCGTTAAAAGGAAAATTGAAGAGGAAAACCATACACTTCTCTATACTTGTAACTGTTGTAGTTTCTCTATTGTGGGAATCGTACTATGCTAATGCGCTTTATATTAGACACAACAGACTTACTGAGGTTTGCACTGTCGTGTCTGCAAACACGCCATCATATGCATATCCGCTAATCTTACTTACTATTTTGAAAATAGTAATATTACTAGTTGTACTTTTGTCAAGTACGTGTTTAGTTATCATGAAGATACAACGTCGCAATCAGTTAGTGCTTTCACAAAATTGTTTTCCGAAAAAACCAATTAAAAACCAAAAAACAATGAGAATGATTATTATAATTGCAATAGTTTTCATATTAACTGTTGCCCCACGTGATATACTTCATTTATTATTCGCTTGGTCGTGGTTAGGCGACAAAAAGGTTTTTCAAAACAGGCAAGTAGCTTTTTACTAAATACTTTTACTTCAAATTAATTGTTTATTTATAAATGAAGTTTAATTTAAGTTTATTACATTGTCATTTTTTTAATTACTATAACTATAATAATCCTACTGCATAATTATTATTTAATTGTGTGACAATTAAATTTGTGACATTCAAAGGTTAATAATGACATAGACTATAATAGAAATCAAAAAAAAAATTTAATATTTTTTTGTTTCTTACTTTTAGGATACTAATTGATCGCTTGAATAACTGGTTTCGATTACTCCAGGTCAGCAATGGAATTTACAACGTTTTCATATACGCAAATCTTCATGCTAAGTTTTCCAAAAATTTAAAACAATACCTTCCATGCAGGTTTGTGTCAGTAGCTCCTGAGAAACGAAAGTCACTCGCTTTAGATTCAGAGTCAACGAAAATTGAAGTACTTATGGATAAAAAAATTGACAATGAAATTGAGGTACTTATGGATAAAAGATAAAAAACCATAAGTTTATTTGTTGATAATGGTTTGTAAATTAAAGGATATATTTTAAGTTTATTTAAAACAAAAGTTTAAAACAGATAATTTTAAAGTTTATTTTTATAGTTTGCGAAAACAGTTTTTTTTAATGGTTTTAATCCATTATCATATTGTGTGGATATGTACAGATGTATGATATATATATATATATATATATATATATATATATATATATATATATATATATATATATATATATATATATATATATATATATATATATAGTTTATAGATTTACTTATGAAATTTGTTTGAATGAATATTGTTTAACCGAAACGGTAGACTCCCGATGCTGTCCTTCAGGTCCGCAAGTATTAAAAAATTATCTTTTTATTTGCCGGACTGCCTGTTTAAAGCCGAACGCAAACCCTTAGTCGATGTATGTACGTTCTGCTGGGCCTTATAGTTTCCATTTTCCTAACACCTGTAAACTCAGGTTTGCTGACGTGAAGGACGTCAGAATAAGGGTTTGACAGCAATCAACAATTTTTGTGTCCGTCCAGCGACGGGTACGAATTTCAGTTTATATTATTTATTTTGTTATTAACGTTCTATATACTAGAATAAAAATGTACATTATTATTAAAATACTAATTGTTTTTAGTACCTTAAGTAATGATTATTATTAAAATACTAATTGTTTTTAGTACCTTAGTAAATGACAAAAAAAAATTATTACGCGATTTTTTTTCTTATCTTTTTTTCACGGAAAGTATGCAGAGGCGATTTTATGAATAAAACGAGAGAGAAAATATTTTAAGAATTCTCAAAGATAACCTAATAATTAGTACGTTATAATGAAAATAATCTAAAAGTCATCCTTCTAAGCAAATTATGGGGAAAGCTTATTTTAAGCACATAATGAGGAAGACTGTTTCCGTTTTCTTAAATGTCAGTTTTTCAACAACATCAAGACATGAAATCTGGATATTTAGTTCTAAAAGTCATCGTTTTAAACACTGCAAAACGACTGCTGTTTACAAAAATTCATACTTAGACTCGGACTAAACAAACAAATACAACAACATATACCTATATTTTTTGATGTAAAAAATATATAGGAAAGACTTATTATGTTTTGTTATAAGAATAAACTTAAACACTAAAAATAAATAAAAGTTAATTTAAGAAATAATTGGCAAATATACAAAAATATATTTTTACCAAAAAACTTTGTTTAAAAATAAACCAGTTTGAATAAAGATGTTTAAACTCAAAAAAGTATAACAAATAAAAAGGTTTTGCTGATATTTTTATCATTTTCTAACTCTAGTTTAGAAAAGTAAAGATTGGTTGAGAAAATCTATTTACATTTACTTTATTATCAAAATCTTTTTTTTCTCTCATCGTTGGTATCACTCTCTTCATTGCTTCTAAGTTCCTACGGTGAATCTCCATTGCTACGAATGCTTTAATGCCGTTGCCATACTGAACATTACACAAGTTTATACTAGAAATCTTTACACTTATGTAGTCTACCGACTACATAAGTGTAAAAAATCAAAAAGAATATAAGATCACCTATTTACGAATTTCTCTCTCTCTGTCTCTCTCTCTGTCTCTCTCTCTGTCTCTCGCTTTATTCACGAGCTGCTGGGTTCAAATCTAATAGTATTTTTACTAATAATATGAAGGTTTTTTTTGCAGTAATGGTTTTTTTTGCAGTAAAGGTTTTTTTTGCAGTAATTTTTTTGATAGTAATGGAATTGGGATTGCACTTTGTTTCAATGCAAAACTATAATTTAAATTGCTTTTGAGCTACTTAGATATTAGTCATGAATGATTTCAAATAGAGATTGCTCTCTCCGAATTTTAGAATGTTAAATAGCCAACATCATGCCGCCAAACATGCTATTAAATTAAAAGATGATAATAATGATGATAAGTTTGACATTTATAAAAAAAAAGCATCAACAAACATTGAAATAAAAGAAAATTCGAAGCATGATCCAAAATTCTTAGAAAAAATTTTGATGAAAGTTATCCATAGAACCTAATCTATTTGCTCTGAAAAAGTTGCGCATAAAGAAACTAGTTTCCAATTAGATATATTTGGTGAAGATGGAAACAGAAAGAAAAAAATTACAGAATCTTGCTAATGTCAAACAAAAACGATACTAAAACTAATAAAATGCAAGTGTAAGCAAAAATACATTTTGAAAACAAAAACAAAAATAAATAAAAGAATGAAACAATAATGAAACAGAAAAAAATACATACAAGAAAAAAATGGGACCGATCTACTACTCATGCTATATAAAATTGAGGCAGGTAAAAACTTTAACAACAGTACCAATTATAAATATAAACAAACTTAATACAAAGATAAAAAAATATGTTTAAGAGTCAATCAAATTTCAACTTTATAAATTTGGGTCCAATAACAGAGGTATAAATATAGACGACGATCAGCATTTTAAACGCAATCCTTGGACGCCATTTTTTTTGTACTTACGTTCAAAAAAGAAGCCTCTTGAATGCAAACCTTAAAGAAGCCATTAAAAAGAGTTTTAAAAGACACAAAGCAAAACAACTCTTTAATACTCTTTTATGATTTTTTTAGTCATAGCTGGCAACACCGGGGTAAGGGTAATAGCCCCCACTTTTTGTTTTAAAGAACTTTATTTTTATTTTAAAGAATATCAAAATAAAGAGGAATTTTTTAAGAAATTGACAATTATGCCTAATTCATCTTTCCTCACATCAAAAAACGTGTTGTCCGCCCTGCTTGTTGAGTGTTCAAAGTATTTTTTTTATATTCTATACCGCTCCAGCTAGATTTTCATCCAATTTAGTTATTCTAAATGAAAAGGTCTCAAAAAACATTTTTTTTTAAATGTCTATGTAATATTTTTTTTAGTTTCTTTAGTATCTTTTTTTCCAAAATGAAGTGTTTGATAGTAGTTGACAGTTGACATATGCATAACTTAAGATCATTCAACAATAAAAATTAATAAGCCAGAAAAATTTCAATGTTATTAGACAGTGAATGCACTTTAAAGCTACTTTTTCATTAACTATATATTTACGTTGGCTTTTATTTTATATAGGTCCGCGTAAAGCTTGGATGTGTTTGTTATAATATTAAACTAACTACTTTGATAAAAAAAAAAATTATACTTTTTTAAAGTTAAAGCCATCATAAACTTTAAGTTTAAATGCGCACCGTTTTGATTTAGTAACGTTTGTTTGTTTAATTAAACATCAATCTTAGAGTGAGGTGCGTTTAAATTTTTTTTTTTTTACGGTGATTTCTAACTAAATTGTTTTTTAACTAAGTTTTCTTGGAGCCTATGTAATAAATAAATAAATGAATATATAAACCTATGTAATAAATAAATGAAAATCCTTAGCAATAAAGAATGGATAAAAAAAAGTCTCAGCAATCAAAATATTAAGAAAAAAACAAAACAAATGATAAAATGTTTACTTATGTTAACATTATTTTTGCCAAAACCGTTCGTTTTGTTTAAAGGTTGGCGATATCAAGGTGACGTCAAAGTGAATATTTATATTTATGGCTATAATTTGCTTATGAATTTGGCACAAAAATCAGTAAAACCGGCCGTTAACTTAAAACTGTTTCAACAATTTAAGAATGATTTAATATAAAACACTTTAAAGCAGTAAAAATAAATTTTATAAAACAAACTTTCAGCAAGTAACAATGAAGGAGGGGTTTAAAATTTAAAATGTTGGATAGCAAACTCCCTTCCCTCCTCCCCTTACACACACCTAAAAACATTAAACGTTTTAAAAAATACAAAAGTAAAATTTTCTTCGTTTATTTGGTTCTAAACAATGATGTTAGGCTTTGATTTTTTAACATAAGAATGCCCTTCCCATACCCTTTTCTCCTCTAGGACAACGGATCATTGACTCCACTACAAATGTCAATCAACTTTACAAAAAGTTCCTCAAAATATCCAAATGTTAGAACTGGGAACCACTATGCTCAAAAAAACATTCAGTGTTGCTCTTAGGCGTTCTTCTGGACAAAGATGTTACTTAGAAAAGTCATACCCTTAATGAAATTAAAATATCTTAAAGCAATTTTTTTTAGTAGTAGTAACCATAATAAAATTTTTTTTTCTACCTATATTTTGTTATTTAACAATAAATAATTAAACAAATATACAAGAAAGAAAAAAATATATCCGTAGAACAAAAAAGACAGTAAAATCTTGTCATCAACCACAGTTTTTGTATATGCAGTATAAAATATAACCATTTCTTTTTACAATGATCTTTATAAAATAAAGAGTTAAACAGACAGGGGCTCAAAGAAGATGATAATACGTCATCGCAATCTTTTCATAGAGCCCCTATATATACTTTATATTAATGTTAATATTACATTTATAATAATATTGCACAATACAACATGGCATTAGGATGTCTTAAACTTGAAAATTTGTTTTTAACTTTGGTCAAAACAACATAAACAAAACAAATTGTATCAACCAGGTTTAATCAATTACTATTTATTTATTTTTAAGAACACATCTGACCGTTAAGTATCTTTCTATTTGCTATTTTTTTTAAATTTATTACTTTTTAAAATATTCTGAAAAAAAAGAAGATTTTCCTCGGCAAGATTTTCACCTAAAAGGATTACTCTACAGAAACATTTTATTTTTTTAATGAGAATTAGTGAAGCATTCAAACTTCTGCTTATTGGCAACATAAATCAAATTTTTTAACAAATCTAGACGTCCTTGAGACATCCAGAAGACGTCCTCCGGACGACGCGTGTCCACTGGGTAAGGCTAATGTTTTTCCTAAAATCCTTATTTGAACCAAGTTAATGTAATATAACTCGTGTATATTATGTTATATACCATAACATGTAATGAGTAATAATAAAAAATGTATTTACTTTTAATTGACAATCATTCTAAAAATATATTTCCTTATTCAAAACAAAAGATTGAAGCAGTTGTATCATTTTATGCTATTAAAATATTCGTTCATTAAAATTTTATTCGTTCATTAAAAAAAGTAAGATAATAGTCTTGTATTCTGTTGTGAAAATTGAAATTAAA